GCCTTTTGAAAAAGGAGTTGTTATACAAACCACATATTTATATACATATATATATCTTATTTTAAAGCCAACCGGGGAGCTGTAAATAAATTTGGCATTTAATCATATTTACGGATTTGTGGCGCATTTATTTATGCGTCCCATAGCGGCGCATCTTGAGCGCGGGCCGCTTGCCACTCAAGGATTTCGGTTTCTTTTTGGGCCGGCTTCCGGTGTGGCCGCAACGGAAGTGCAGTCGCAGCGACTGCGACGCGAACGGGCACTGGGCTCAAGTGTGGTGGGCGTGGCAGCCACAAGCCACAAAACGCGCCAATTTGCGCTATTTCAAGTGTGCCAACAACAACAACAACAACAACAACAACAGGAACAGCAAAGAAGTGTGCTGTAGTTGGGAGTGCACAACTGGGAGATACCCTGACAAATTCGAACGTCCTTCTGTGCGTATACATGCATAAACGCACAAACTGTCCTAGATTAACTTCGGCATTTGTCGTCCGATCTTTACGAAAATTTCAAGGTTATGGCACACAAATGTGTTCATATACCTCAGCTCAAGGCTCTAGGTTTTATAATAAGTGTTCTTTAATATAGTTCCTAATTTAGGGAGAAACTGCGAAAGGCATTCGAAGTGTGAAGTATTTGTAACCTTGATAAGCTCTGCGGGAGTTACTGGACTCCCGGGGATGCTTCTAACTTCTCTGATTCTCGAGTTATGCCTAAAAACCAAGTCTATATATCGATATTTATCGATATTTTTTAAATAGAAGTAAATATGGGTAGAATATATAAATATAGAAGGAAATATCGTAAGAAAATGAAATGAGAAATACGATAAGATATATAAGATATAGAATATATATAGTCGGTGTGTTTTCTGCTGCCTGTAACACACATAAGCACAAAACCAATGCACCCTTTTTAACACCTTGGCATTGGCTACAGGGTATACCGAGGAGGCAACAACGTCAACATCGTTGCCTAATTATGCGTTCTGCCTTTGTTATTTATAGAGGCCGATTCGGTCGCCTTTTCACTGCGGCTCGTTGCCTGTTTGCCTGTTCTGGGCCCTTTTGATGCTGCCCACGAGGCTAATTAGGCCTAAAGCGCGCCCATTGTGCGCACCGTTGCAATGTCGCGCCTGTTAGCCAACATTGTTACGGCCAACACACACACACACACACAAAGACCCAAACAGGCTGATAGACCACATTTCCGCTCAGCTGCGCTTTGCGAGTTCATTAATAATTTAAGCATTCAATAAAAGGTCCACACAGAAAAGCGCGCGTTCATAAAGTGTCAACAGTTGAGTGGCTTTACAGCTGGGCAAAACGATTTGGTTTGATTCGATTTGCATTCATTTGATTCGTTTCAATTTATTTACCACTCGAATTCGATTTGATAATCATAAATATCAAACAATTTAGCATTCAGCACTGTTATGGCCACATTTATACCCTGTTGTGAGCAGCTGTCATCAATGGGTTGATTGATCTCTAGTAACAATTTTTTTGGTTTGCTGATGAGGGACTAGCTAGGTGCCAGGTCTGGGTACACTCTACTTAGCAGTTAGCTGGTTAAGGACTAAGCCAAGGTTAGCTCAGAGACGGGTTGCAGTCAGGCGTCAGGAATCCCGGGGATAATAGGCTTATAAAAGAACAGAGACAAGATAGGATGCTAGCTAGTCAAGCTTAGCGCAAAATCAGTTGGAAATGACGAGTTCGAGCTCCAAAAACTATTGCCTGATGGAAGAACATTGTCAGGCCCAGCTTTAATATATGATAGGATCACAAGTTCAAACCCTAAGCCACACAGAAATGTGGAATTGAAGACTATGAGCCGTATATACCAATCAATCAAATCAATCAATCAAACCAAAAGGAACCTTTAAGCCAACAGGCATTTGAGGATGAACCATAACACAATCAGGATTAGCTCCGTCATGTGAAAGGCTTATAAGTTTGAACCCTTTACTTAGCAGCTAGCTGGTAAAGGACCACGACTTAGCTTAGAGATATTTCGAAGTCACAAGTTCGAGCCCCATGATAAAAGAAAAACATAGTCGTAGCTAGCTTCGAGACAGGATCGAATCAGTTAGCCCCCTAGGCAGCAGTTAGCTGGTAGAGCACCTTGTTCAGGGTTAGCTCTGAGGGAACGAAAGTTCGAACCCTGCTGCTAGCAGGCAATTCCATGAAGAGTCATGGACAAGGTAAACTTGGACACAGGAAGGGGTCACAAGTTCGCAACATTTAGTACAAGTTGGATGGGAAAGAATTTGCCAGATACAAAATCGACTCCAAGGAGGGTAAACTTTTCTGCTATACATTTTCTTTTACTTTCTTCTTTATTTCTCTATTTTATACAGGGTATATTGACAGACGAGCAACAATTTGCTGCACTTAATTCAAGTTAATGCCCTTCTTGTGCCTTTTACGCCCACCTGGGCGTAGTTTAATTTGAGTAAGTGTTTCACTTTCACAAGCATTTGAAAATTGTTGCATCTGCGTTGGGCTTAGCTGAATTTAATGAACCTAATGCGAACAGGAGAAGCTTAGTGAGCCCAATTATCGATGTCATTTAATTGAGCAGCTTATATATTGAGATATTGTGATTAGGTAAACAAGTTGCCAGCTCAGGTGGCAAAGATTGCAATGAAATTGAAAGGAACTCGAATGACCGAAGGGCTTAACCGAAATTTATAGCTCCATGGATACCACTCAGATTGTTATATGACATGTTTCTCTTGTTGTTGTTGTTGTTGTTGTTGTTGTAATTGCTGCTGTTGATTATGTTTATTGTTAAGTGCAGGTGGAAAACTGTCAGGCGCAACACTTGAATGCATTTTCATTACACCTCATTACATTTCACTTCATTGCAACAATTGTGCGTTGTTTTTGTTGTTGTTGTTGTTGTTGTTGTTGCTGCTCGTTTCACGAATTCCATGAATACACGAATGGATCGAGGCACTCGTTTACATAGATGCGAGAATGTTTTTGCATGTAAAATGTTTTTAATTGAAAACAATAAAGTTTCTGGCTTTGGGTGTTGCGCGTCGCCAGCGGCAGCCTCCTCCCCTTCCCCTATCCCTGCAGCTCTTTTCGCTCTCATCTCTCCAGATACAATGCATAAAATATTCCATAGAAATATGAAATGCTTCAGCCAAATGAGCAGCTTGTGATGCTGCAGATTGATATGTTAACGACATGTGAATACACTTTTTGCAAATGTCAAGAAAATTCGATTTATTTTCCTGGGTAAAACTTGTTGCGAATCATAAAGTTTTTAGTTTATTCTTTTGGCTCAAGGATTTTGTAAGGCATATTTTATACAATTTTGGTTCTACGTGATTTTTTCTTACAAAGTTGTTGAAGATGAATTCGCAAAATACAAAATACGCAAATACATTTGGTTGGCTCCAAAAAGTATGCTATGGATTTTAAATGTAATTAGATTTTGGTATATAAACAATTATAAATTAAAAGTATGTTTAGTATTAGTTGTATATAGATAGAACATGTATAGTTAGAGCGAGAGAGAAAGAGAGACAGAGAGAGAGGGAGAGGAATAAATAAGACTAACATTGTTTATATGCTAAGATCACATAGTACATGTGCAGCGAGAGAAAGAGACAGACAGAGAGAGAGAAATAGAGAGAGAGAGAGAGAGAACGAGAAAGACGGCAAGAGAAAAAGAGAGAGAGAGAAAAACAGAGAGAGACATTGTGTGAGTGTATAAGAAAATTCAGAAAATATCTCATGATAGAAGTACGACCGAAGCTTTACGGAATTCAAATGTTCGAAGATAGTATAAATTATAGAAGCCATTCGAGTTTCCCAAGTTCTCCATAACAATTAAACTGGAAATAAATGTAAAGTAAATGTTGAAAAAAAAGGACACAATTTATTGTAGCTCAATCCCATTCTTTATGCTCATTTCGAAAATATATATAAAAATATATTTATATATATACATATGAACTTTAAACGGTGCCCAAACGAAAGACATTTGTGAAATGCCCGATTTTAATTTGTTGGTGAGTGTAAATACTCTTGGCAAAGCTAAAAGCTGAGCATTCACTGATTGTGTTTCTTTGTTTCAGGCGTGAAAGCGAGCTGAATATAAATGGAAATGGAAAAGCCAGTGATACCCAGGCGATAGATAGATACAGATACAAATGCAGATGCAGATATGTCTTTATAAATGTGTGTGTGTGTGTGTGTGTGTGTGTGTGTGTAGGTGTGTGTGAAAGCAACAACAACAAATGCGAAAGTGATAATTAAAAATCGCGCAGTTATTGTTGTTGTTGTTGCTGTTGTTTTTTCTCTATATATGCTGCATGGTTATTGTGTTGTCAGAAGTGGGATATTGCAATCAGGCAACATGGCGGCAATGTGTGTGTGTGTGCGAGTGTGTGTGTGTGTGTAAATGTGCAACATTGCGAATGAAGTGATCAATGTGCCTAACAATGATTGACGGCATTTCAATGAAGTGAAAGGGCTGCTGGGCTGCTTGGTTGTTGGGCGTTTAGGGGCGGGGTTGCAGCAGGCTGGGGCGCCATTGGGGCGCTGTTGGAGGGTCTCATGCTGATGACAAACAATTATGCAAAAATTGCAAGCGTTTGCAGTTTTGTGCAAAATTAATTTTGCATTTTTAATTTTGCTTGGGGCCGCTTGTCTCTCTGTGTGTGTGTGTGTGTGTGTGTGTGTGTGGCAGCTTTAAGTAAAAATCTTTAAATAAAAGTATAAAAAAATATAAAACCCAGCCCACAAAGCGCACAGATTATGCTGAGGCAGCAACAAACCGAGCCAATTCAAGCCGAGCTATCACAAAGGATTGATAAGTGCTCGACTTCGAGCTGGCATCAGGCGAGCCCAGCTCCATAATCTAAAGGCCACGTGTCTATTGTGGCCCACCATGGGCTGATCTCTCAGCCGCAGCCGAAACTCAGCTCATTCGCTGCGCGTTGCGTCTTGCCGGCGGTTGTGCCCGTTCGAGAAGCAGCCATGACGTTCGTTCAGGTCAGTCGGGATCTGCAGCAGCAGCTGGTGCTGTTGCGCCTGCATCTGGAGCAGCCGGCCATGCAATTTCCAGAGATTTGGCTGCGCGACAATTGCCAGTGCCCCAAATGCTATATGCAACAGACGCGCAGTCGCCTGCCGCACGGCTGGAACTGTCTGGACACCGGGGTGCGACTGCAGCAGCTCAGCTGGTGTGCGGAGCAGCAGGCGCTGCTGATAGACTGGAGCGATGGGCATCAGTCCAGCTATGCGCTGGGCTGGCTCAAGGCGCGTGATTTCTCGCCCGCGAATCGCGCGCGTTATTTGCGCGACATTTACCGCCCCGAGCGCCGGCACTGGTCCGGCCTGGAGTTCGCCCAGATACAGCGCGAATTCCAGTACGAGGAGCTGCTGCGCAACGATGAGACGCTGCTGCAGTGGCTGCACCAGCTGGCCGTCCATGGCCTGGCGCTGATTCGGCAGGCGCCGCTGGAGGCGCACGTGCTGCGGCAGCTGTGCCACCGGGTGGGCTTCATGCGGCGCACCACGTACGGCGTTGAGTGGAGCGTTCGGGCGCAGCCCGGCGCCAGCAATTATGCGTATATGGCGGCGCCGCTACCGCTGCACACGGACATGCCCTACTTTGAGTACAAGCCGAGCATTACGCTGTTGCACACGTTGCAGCAATCCGAATCACCTGGCGGCTGGAATCTGCTCAGCGATGCGTTCCATGTGGCCGATCTGTTGCGGCAGCGGGAGCCGAGCGCCTTTCAGGTGCTCAGTGGCACGCCCGTCGATTGGGCGGACATTGGCAGCGACAAGGAGCTCTACTTTCACAATATATGGCGTGCGCCGGTCATCAAGTAAGTCCACCCCCCACCCCCCTCTCTTTCGCTCTGGCCTACTCTTATCTCTGTTATCTGTGCTGCCACACACAGCCTGGATGCCAAGGGTCGTTACGTGCGCATCAACCACAGCATTCCGCAGCGCGACAGCCACTTCAGCGTGCCCCCGGAGCAGGTGCGTCCCTGGTATGAGGCCATGGCCATGTTTATACGCCTGGCCAACGAGGAGGCATGCACCTTTAAGACAACACCTGGCGATATTCTTACCTTCGATAATGTGCGCATGGTGCATGGCCGCACCGGCTACGATGATACGGATCACAATGTGCGGCACATTGTTGGCGCCTTCCTCGACTGGGACATTGCCTATTCCCGCTGGCGTGTCCTCCGGAATGCGCTCGGGCATAACAAGTAGCTCTGCCTACTCAGCTGCCTTATCAGTAAACAACACGTGAATAAAACACATCTTCCCCCCCCCCCCCCCCCCCCCCCCCCCTGCACGGCAACTGTTTTAATCAGCTTGCAACATTGTGTCTGCTTTTGTATTCAAATAATGTGTTAATAAAGATTATAATATTTAATTAAAATATAAAAAAAAGTTGTATTTCATTACCAATTTAATCGTTTTTAATGTTAATCGTTTTTTTTTTTGCTATTGTTGAGATGACAAATTAATAACATTATTAAAACCTTTACGATTTGTTATAGAGTATTAAATATTGAATTGCGAATGTTGTAAGCGTGGAACATTATTTATTCCTGCACTGTTGTCAGCTCATTGGAGTAAATGCTTTTGATTCCGTTATATACGTGCATATATTGCAGGCGGGATGCGAACACAACAGAGAGTGAGCATGGAACATAATTTATTCGCCCACTGTTGACAACTCATTGGAGTTAATGCTTTTGATCCCGTTACATACGTATGTATGTATATTGCAGGCAGATCGCGAACACAACAGAGAACGTGGGAGAGAGAGAGAAGCTTTAGCTTATTTAGATATTCAGCCGTAAGTGCGCATTGTAAGCTTGGCACATAATTTATTCCTTCACTGTTTACAACTCATTGACATTGCTTTTGATCCCGTTTAATGTCTGCACTGCAGACGGACACGAGGCAAAAAAGAAGTGCGAGCATTGCGTACAGTATTAGTGGGAGCAGTAACACGCTATTGATCCCGTTACCTTAGATGTGTATGCAGACAAATGCGCTTGCTTGTTGTTGTTGTATCAGTGTGAACGCCGGTTTGCGTGGGCGCTAGCCAAATGAGGCAATTTAGTCAGTGCGCGTCTGTCCTGTCGATCGATCGTGTCCTCTGCGCGTGTTTATTAAATCGTTTGCTAATACGGTTAATTTAACTAAATAGTGTGTTTAACGCGTTTAGCTTAGTTTAGTTTCAGAAACCTTCGAGTCTTTTATTCATTTGCGGCCTTTAAATTTACATATGTATATCCAATAATCAGTAAGATGTGCCTTGTGTAATTTTTAGTGCAGAGCTTTTATCCGTCACAAAATTTAAGCGCGAAATCCACACTCTGTGAGAGAGAGCGAGGGAGAGAGAGAGTGAGAATTGGTAAGCGTGCTTTTGTATGTATGTATTATACAGTTAGGTATTTATCTACATATGTACATATTTATACGCCTGCAGAGGGTATTATAGTTTTGTTTCAAAGTGTGTAACACAGAGGTTGGCACATGAGGCACAACTTTTAAGTGTGTGTAAGAGTGTTCAAATATTAAAATTTAAAGTAATTTTTAGATATGATGCATTTGAAATACCTAGGATATTTGATTTAATTAACTATTTATTTTTTTTGGATTGGAAAGACTAGTTTAATATATGTATATGAATATTTGTAGAAAAGTAGATAACTGAATCTGTTTCTGCATTGCAGGGTATTTGTTAGTCCATATAGTTACTGTTGTTTATTATTTGCTAATAACTAGGGAACACATGACTTTAAGTGAAAGTCTGCGACACGTCATTGTTTACCCGCAGCACAGCAGCTACAAATTTCAAAGGCCCTTATCAGTTAGAAGTGTATGAACGTGTATGCTTGTATACAAATACAAACACATGTATGTGTGTATGTATATGCATTTGGTGTAATACTTTGTTTTGGCATTCGTGATTAGCTGTTTATCAATTTATGGCTGAGCCAGAGACAAACATTGACCCGGCTGAGCTTTTAGTGTCAGCGTAAATCACACAAACGTGTTGAGCACCCTTTAAAGCGAGCAACAAGGCAGCCGAGCCAGGTGAGGCAGGTGAGCTGGAGCGGGGCGTGCCAAGCTGGGCGTTTGGCTGGGGGCTGGGTTATTTTTACGGCATTGCCACATTTTGACGGCGCCTTTTGGCAGCGCCGGAAGCTGTTGCTGGTTTGTTTTACTTGTTTTGTTTTTGTGCGGTTACCCAGTGGCAAATCCTTGGCAAATCTTTTTATTTATGTCATTGATGCCACACACACACACACACACACACATGAAAAACCCACATACTTGGCATGTGATTTTGGTACGAGCCAAGTAAATCCCTCTAATAATCCACATAATAAGCAGCTGGAGAGTCGGCAAACAGCAACAGCTGACAAAAAGGGTTGCTAACCCACCCCCAGGCAGTACAACCCCCCTCGCCCCCCGCCACACCGCACACAACCTTTCTCTTGTTTATAAGTTCATAAAACTGAACGAGCTGAGCGTTTGGTCTGCTGCACATAAAAGTGAAGAAATAAGAGAAAAAATGCCGAATCGCAAATCCAATTTCTGTTTGTGGTCTGGGCCAAGTCTCTTTTACTGCGACCAGGGTCATAATGTGTAATTGAAAACCCTGCGCTCCACTATTGCACCCCCGGGGCGCCCGCCACCTACGATGTGTGTGTGTGTGTGCGTGTGTGCGTGTGTGTGGCGGTCCCCTCTAAAAACTAATTGGCACAGTTGTGGCCAGCCAAAAATGTAAGGTTTATGCCGTGACACTGACACCGCTGGCCATTATGTAAACAAGGCCAAGAGCCAAAAGTCGTGGCGGCAACTCTTGCCAAAGAAAAAGGGCTGTCGCGCTGCAAATAATGCGCTCAATTTGTGGACACTTTGAAGAGGGAATCGCAGACAATTGCCAAACTAAAATGCTTACATACAATTTCCGCTAGCCCGCCCCCTCATTACACACAGCCAAAGCGAGGCGGCGGGCAGGAGGGGTTGAACAGATTTCATACTTGGCTGTGGCCCAGTTTTTGGTTTGTTTTTTATTTGCCAGGTTTTGGTTCGCCAACGTTTTTTTCGCCGTCGTTGAAAAACTGTCACAATGATAAACATGCGGCAATTGACGCAATCATTGTCTGTCCATGAATTGAATTAAATCAACTCAAGTGCGACAATCCCAACCCTCCTCCAACCCAACTCCAACCCTCCTCCAAGCGTTCGCCAGCCAACTTTCCAACAATCCTTCAAGCATATGGATAACATGCACTCAATTTGTGTATATACCCTGCCAAAGGCTATTATCAGTTTTTACAAGTGTTGTGTAATGCTCTAAATATAATATTGCTTAACACTTATTGTGTACATATTCCTGTTTTAACTGGTTAATACATACAGGAAAAGTTTCTGTCTATCTGAACTGGGCTCTCAGCTAAGATTTGTTTAAGATATTTGGTGCAGACTTCAAGAAGTATATATTCTGCTTACGGCCAGATCGGTTTACTAAGTCATAAAGATGTCTTGAAACTATTTATATAATTAGGTATTACTTTAAAGAATCGTTTGCTATATATGCTACTAAAAGAAAACTGATTCATTATTGTATTGTTATATGAAGAATTATTTTCCCTTTTTTGCAGAGATCTTAAACAAAGTGAGCAACAATATGGCAAATACTTGTAAGCAACTTATGATTATATCATTTGGTAAGTGCAATCGAAGCGAAGTTAATTTATTGTAAGAATATATTTCTTGAAATATGAGAATACTTAAAAAACTTCAATTATGCTTAAGATCCCTGGCCTACCTTTCTATTTGAAATAAAATAGGAATTGTTCGTTAAGAATTAGAATTTAATAATGGGCTCTCATTAAAGATCAGTTTACTATATCTAAGAGCTGCTTAAGCATCGTATATTCGATCAAATACGCTATTCTTTTTCTTAGATCATTTGACTTTATCTCAGAGCTGTCCATACTACTGCAAGATCAGTTAGGCATATCTTAAGGCTGCTTATAGAAAGGGCTTGAAAAATTCGTTCAAGTATGCTGTTGTTTCTTCTTAGATCAGTTGACTTTGAGCACCGCAAGGGTATTAAATATTCGATCAACAATGTTGTTGTTTCTTATCTTACTTGTTATCCTTTTGCTGGCAAATGAATGGCTTGCGTCATGCACGCGCAGACATTGGAATCAAACTAAAATAAGTATATGGAGTGCTGTGCATCAAATCATATCATACAATGATAGTCAACCCTTTTGTTCGGCGAGCTGGTGTGTGTGTGTGTGTATAGGTGTGTGTGCCTGAGGGGGCGTATGCGTAATGCGGCCTGTAATTCCGTTTGATTTTGCTGCAGGACATTAGCGCGGGCTCAACATCGCATTTCGCTTATTAGAATTCGCTTGTGCCGCTAGAGTGTAATAAATTCTGTTGCTGTTGTTGCTGCCACAAGTCGCACACACACACACACACAGAGAGAGAGAGAGAGACATATCCATGTGCCACACATACGCCACAAGCTACAGCAATTTCAAAGTTTATCACCAAAGCGTCTGCAACTTGTCTCCATCTCTCGCTCTCTCCCTATCCCGCTCTCTCTCCCCCTCTCTCTCTCTCTCTGTCTTGTCTGCACGTCTACTGTGGTTATGTGAAATCACATCGTAAAAATGTCCAAGTCCAAATGCTGTGCGCCAAAGCTCATAAGTCCTGCTGCTGCTGCTCCTGTTACCCCTGCCCCCTGCTGCTGCTGCTGCTCTGGCCGCCCTGCTGTTTGTTGCCGTGCCGTTTCACCTGTCGCTTGGAATTGGCATTAGCGCGCAACCCTTTTTTGTTTTTTGGCCTTTCAATTTATAGATGGCGCGCATATAAATATTTATTTCCATGTGCAGCTGCCTACACTTGGCTGGCGCGCAGCACCACCAACACCACAGAGAGCATAGTCATGCCTTGGCATCATTATTATTTTTATGATGGCCTTAAAAGCATCGTCCTGGGCGATCAATAAACATTCATGTCTGCGCAAGTCTCGACTTGCAGTTTTCAATGTTTTTCAATAAGCGAAAGTGCCTTGCCACCAAAACATAACGTGTTGCAAGTTCAACGTGTGTGCGTGTGTGTGTGTGTGTGTGTGTGTGCCATCAAATAATTAAAGGTCAGCCAACCAACCGACTGCCCCGCTTCAAAGCCCATCAAGGCTTTTATTCAACCCGCCCCGGTTG